TTATGCATTGCGTTCGGGACACCTAAGCTGACCCAGTGGTCAAATACGATCTGTCCGGTTAGGAATTCTCTAAGGTATACCTCGATCCTGCCACCCCGTTGCGTACGTACACTCAAGGAATTCGTGGCGAGTTCGCGCACATATGGCAGCAAACAGCCGGACACATGAAAAAAACGAATTCAGTGAATTCACGATAATTGCACCAGTAATCCATTCTCAGATTCCAAGGGAACGTAAGAGGTCAGCGTCAAATAAATATTATGCCAAAGAACTTCTGGAGAACAGACAAATAAACCTAGGCGTGGAGTACGGTAGCCTTACGCAGTACGCAATTGCAGGGCTATAGTGCGGCCTTGTTTTTCGATGGCCTGCTTGCCTGTAATCGATTGTGGGGTTGCTAAAAGTTGTAATTAACTTTTATTGAATCAGATTTATTCTCACACTGACCCATCTTTGTCCTCTCCAACGTGAATTGATTGTGCTGCACTAGCTGAGATTACTGCTCTTCTGAAGTTGCTGCTTGCTCTACTCATAACTTTATAAGTAACTCTTCGTTATCTTTATTAATCTGCTACTGGGGGCAGTTCGGCGACTGGGGAAGGCACTCTCCATTTTTGCTACTAGCCGTCGTCGTTTCAAACCATCTAGAAAGCCATTTCCTGAGTTTACAAGAGTCGACAGGTTTTACCATGGTGGCTCGACGAGCTTGCTCCAGCTTCGCAACCGTTTACAAGTTTTACCAGACTGAGACTTGTGAACCGAACTAGTAAAGCAGCGAAAGTACGAAATGCCTCCCCCCCCGTCCCCTGTCGCCGAACTGCGCCTGACATTATGGTGCGTTTATTTTTTTTCAAAATCCACTATGAGTATGTTTATGATCTAAGTATCTGTTGCTCTCATTTCAACCTAGACATAGTTTTTAGCAAGCTTCCGTAACAGTAAAATATCATTAACTTCAAGCTCGTAATATGCTACTTTTTCCTGCACTTCACTTTTGGAAAAGTTGCTTTAACTGTCGCGCCAAACAGTGTATTTCGTGAATCCTAAAAACTGTACGACTTTCAGGCCATGGCCCCGCAGTTTCCTGATTTTAGACAAGTTCGAAGGCGGATTCGTCGGACGTTATGTTATGGATCGAAGCAACCACAGAATGTTAACTTACCTCTTTCAGGTAATAGTTTATCGTCTTCACTATGAAATTTCACTTCGAGACTCTTCAGCGACGGGCGAATTAGTCTTCGCTGCGGCAGTGGGGCGTGTCCGCGCGGCTGCGCTTGTCATGGCGCCAGTCCGTTTTTTCTCTTTCAAAAAGTTTCAGGGCTGTATCATAAGATCAGTTCTCCGTTTCAACCAGTCGTTTTATTTACGTACCTCAACAACATGTAGAGAATAAGTTTGGCAGCCTGCCAGATGCAGCTGCGGACACGCTCCATCATCCGCAGTTGGGAGATGAGACTACCCGAGCAGTTTCTGTATATTTTCCCTAAAAAGGCTTCGGCCGTAAACGCAGATGCCCAAAATTACTGACCTGAGAGATAGTTTCGTAGAGAAGACATGGTCTCCACAATGCCTTAGCTTCCATTGGAGGAAGGGATGTGGAGACGCCTGTGAGCCCCTCAATCCCAATTACATTAGTTACT